CAGATTAACCAAGAGTGGTTTACTGTATTAGACTTGAAAGATGCCTTCTTCTGCTTGCCCCTAGCCAAAGAATGTCAAAAGCTGTTTGCATTTGAATGGGAAAATCCTACCACAGGTAGGAAGACCCAACTCACTTGGGCAGTGTTACCCCAAGGTTTCGAAAACAGCCCAACCCTTTTTGGAAAGTAGTTGGCACGAGACCTTGAAATGTGGGAACCCCCTACGAACAGGGGAACCTGCTACAATATGTGGATGACCTATTAATAGCAACCAAATCAGAATCTGAATGTATTCAATGGACTATAAGTTTGTTAAACTATCCTAGACTAAACGAATATCAAGTTTCTCAACAGAAGGCCCAGATGATACAACGACAGGTGACACACTTAGGATACGAGATATCCAGAGGACAGCAGGAACTGGGAAGAGAAGGAAAGGAAGCCATCTGCAAAACCCCACTCAGGTAAAGGAGCTCAGAACCTTTCTGAGGATGATGCAGTAACCACCACCAATAACCTAATCGAGTCTCAACCTTTACCTGCGGGGACATCAGCTAAAAAGGCCGAGATTATTGCCTTGACTAGAGCATTGGAATTGGCAAAAGTGAAGAAAATAAACATATGGACGGTTTCTAAATATGCTTTTGGGGTTGTCCATGCCCAATCTGGAAAGAATGAGGATTGTTGACCACACAAGGAAAGCAGATCAAACATGCGAAAGAGATACTTCGCCTATTGGAAGCAGTACAATTGCCAGCTGAGGTCGCTATCATGCACTGCTGGGGACACCTGACAGGTAACACTGATCCAGAAAGAGGTAATCCAATGGCTGACTATGAGGCTAAACAAGCAGCAAGAATGCAGAGAGATCGAATTTTAATGTTAATCCCAGACAATAGAGATAGTGAACTAGATAGCCAAGAGAGTGTTGAATATTCTAAATCAGATCAAGAACTAATACAAGAACTAGGAGGACAAGTTTCTGAAAAAGGATGGGTTCACTTGAGTGATGGTAAGACTATTATACCTGCCAGAGCAATGTGGGAACTTGTCAAAGGGAAACGTGATAAAACACACTGGGGAGTGGATTCGTTATATAAATTTCTAAGTCAGAAATGGATAGGGAAGAATTTATATACCACAGTTCATCAGGTAACCCAACAGTGTGAAGTATGCTTGAGAAAAAAATCCTAACATTGGAAATTGGATACAGTTAGGCACCACTGGAAAAGGAAATACACCTGGAGATTGTTGGCAAGTGGATTTTTCTGAACTTCCAAGAAAAGGGGGGGTATAGATACCTATTGGTACTTACAGATACATTTTCTGGTTGGCCAGAGGCTTTTCCCTGTAGAACAAATAAAGCCAGGGAAGTGACAAAGGTACTGTTAAATGAAATAATACCTTGATTTGGAGTGCCCACTGTTATATCATCAGACAGGGGTACTCATTTCAATGCACAAGTGGTACAACAGGTTAGCAAATTATTGGGAATTAATTGGCAATTGCACACTCCATACAGACCACAGGCCAAGTGGAGAAAATGAAACATATGATAAAACAACAAATAGCAAAGATATGCCAGGAAGCAAATTTGCACTGGTATCAAGCCCTACCTACTGCACTACTTCGGATAAGGGCAAAACACCAAGGCAAAGAAAGTTTGAGCCTTTTTGAAATACTGCACAGAAGATCTTATCAAACTAGATACAGAGGGGAAGATTTGCGTCAATTAGGAAATAATTATTTACAAAACTAGACAATATCACTTGGAAAACAACTTGAGAAAATCAATAAACGTGTATTGGGAACCCAAAACAAAGGGTTAGACCATCCTATCCATTCAATGAACACAGAGTATTGGGCATATGTTAAAACTTTTTCAGGTGATCCACTGGAAGAAAAGTAGATGGGACTGTTCCAGGTATTGCTGACCACCTTTACTGCAGTAAAAATTAAGCACCAACCAGCATGGATACATTATTCTAGAATAAAGAAAGCAGGAAAATCATGGAAGTCAGAATCTTTGGGACCATTAAAATGAAAACTTTTCAGATAATGATAATGCTGTGTTTGGGATGTCTAAGATTTCCATGGGAACCAAATATCCATGTTAGTCTTATGGAAGAGAATCTGGGAAATATTTCAGGAAGAAAAACACAAAAGAATTTGCTATAGGATAAGAAAGAAGGGGGGGGGGCGGAAATGATAATGGAAAAGTACAGAAAACCCTCCAAAGCTAATGGAAAATGCCTTAGGGGACTTAAAACTTAGAAAACAAGGTCATAAACTATGTATACCTGACAGGTAGGGTAAATAATTAAATAGGATATCGAGTAGCTTAGGACAATTTGGAGAACTGCTTTGTTTAAGGTACAGGATGTATAGGAACAAGAGCAATGATGTATACCGAGCCAGGTCTGCAGGTGGTTATGAGGTCAGCACTACCTCTACGCATGCTCCAAGAGCAGGGTCACCAAGAGGACAACTGATGAAGCTGAAGATACGACCACCTGATGAAGACCACAACCGTGAAAATACCTCAGGATGACCACAGGAGGACACCTGTGGACCAGTGAAGAAAGGAGCCAAAATAGGCTGGACTTATGATAATTGGTTCTACGAAGAGAGGTGTTTATTTGGGGTAGTTAGGATGCCTATGTATTATAGTATAGGGAATAAAAAGAACCTGTATGTAACAACTAGTGGGAATCTCAGATGATTCTGAGAGGACACCAGCGCTGCATGAAAGAATACAGACTTAAACCTCTTGGGAGTCTAAGTTTTGTTTTCAGATCACCTCTCTGGAAATCAGTAGTTAGATCCGTTTTTCACCTTCTCCAGGTTGAGAAAGCCCAGCCATGCCCTCCTCTCCTGATATGCCATGTACGCCAGCTGCTGATGCTCTTAGCACACTTCCTCTGGCCTCTCCCCTATTTGTCTACATCCCTCTCACGGGGGGGCACCGAGATTTACCAGGTGCACTCTCCCAGTACCGAGAAGTGTAATGCTGGCTACACTTGCTAATGCAGCACGTGATGGGACAGATGACGAAAAAAAGCTTTGTCAGGGTATGCAGGCTTCATCCAAGGTTCTCCTGCACTGAAGTCCTCTGCTAGGGAGCCAGAAGTCAGCAAAATGCACAGGTAGAAAGAGGTAAGAAGCATGGACTTACCACATAAAAATACTACAAAGCTTTTTATTTTCCTCAATGAGGTACACATTACATGTAAAATGCCACCATCGCTTTACATGGCACACAGGCTAAATGAGAACATTGGACTTGGTGGGAAAAGGCACTACTTTGAAATGCTGGGCTCCCCACTTTGTTGCCAGGGAGGCTCAGCGGCAGAGACAGTAAGCACCCGGTAAGAACAGGAGAGTGGTTGCCACTAGAATCTGAAGTCTTCACAGCTTCCACTGCAGTTGCACAAGGGGAAACAACCTCATAATCTGTGAGCATCTATGAAATGTCCACTGCACAGTGCAGGAGGGTTTTATATACACTCCTACTCAAGCTATGAGGAAAGAGCGAGTCTGCTAACAGCAAGGCAATCTGGTAAAACTGACTTTAAGGAAAAATGTCTGCTTCACCTTTTGAAATCTGTCCTCCTAGTCCACTTTTGGAAAAGGTTTCTCAAGATCCACCTGAAGCACAAAATGGAGCAGAATACTTCCCAGCAGCCAATTCTACATAGCATGAGACCACAAGAGCTGGACGTGGTATGTGCACAAAACCCTGCTCAAATGGGAGCTGCACCTTCCCTCTGGCTGGTGGTATAGCACAGGGCTCTGTAAAAAAAAAATCTACCACATAAGAAGAAACGTAACCTCTTACCACTCTACAAGCCTCATCTTTGTGCCTTTCTCAGCACAGACCCAGTTAGACTGCTATTAGAAGCAGTTGGTGTTCAGGCAGAAATACCATCTCCTTTTATCAAGCACTGATTGCATCAGACAATGCGAATGTTCATAAATTACTGTTTGAGAAAGGCAGCTTTTTCCCAAGGAACAGCAGAATTTACGCAGGATCTGCAGCTCATGTAGTACAGGTTACTGTCCTGGTTCTACTGGGACCGTCACAGAATTCCATTTTCTGTTCAGCAGAGCTTGATTTAGTGAAAACAAGTTGGTATTATAGCTTTGCCTGGGATAGAGGTTTTTTTCCTCATAGTAGCTAGTGAGACTTTGTTTTGGATTCATGCTAAGAGGAATGTTAACAGTGCACGTTGTTTTGGTTCTTGCCAGCAATGTTTACACTAACTCAAGGGCCATTTTTTAGTCTTTGCCTTCACCTGTGTTCAGTTTCTTTTGAGGTTTTTCCCCCTGCCCTTCTCTCTGCACAAGATAGGGAAGGGAAGCAAAAGCCTGGGGTTTTCTGGGTTAGGTGACCCAGGTGTGATCCAAGCTGACCAACAGAATGTGCGCTATGCCGCAAACATCACACTCTATAAACTGGGGAGTTCGCTGGGGAGGGGCTCTTCTTTACTGTTGGTGGCCACCTCCATAAGGTCTGGCTTATACAGTTCCTGAGGCTTACCCTTCCTCTGCTGTGTTTTCATTGGTGCACATCCAGCAACTAATAATAATTTTTATTTCAGTTTAGTTTATTTTAATTATTAAATTGTATTATCTCAACTGATGAGTTCTTTCACTTTTACTCTTCTGATTCTCTCCCCCACCTCACCAGGGAGGAGGGGAGTGAGCAAGTGGCTGCATGGTGTTTAGCTGCTTGGCAGGTTAAAACACATCAGTTACAAAACCAAGATGTATTTTTTGTGATCAGAGAGGCAAATACTGAACAGAACAAAAAATAAAGACAGAAAAGCAGTACAGACCACAGCTGTGTTACATTTATAAAAATTAAAACTGTTCCTCTTCCTCCTCAGACCTCCAAAGAAAGCCACAACTTTGCTTGTTACTCAGTTTCAGGACAAAGTTTTGCCCTTCAAGTCTCAATAGCACTGTCTGGTATTGTCCCCTAATCCTAGTTATGCTGAAAAGCCCAGGCTGACTCCATTTTCCTCACACCCATCAGTGCCTGGCTAAGAAGGTGAACATTGCTTGTACGTCAAAACCCAAGTGTCAAGGAAACACTGAGGACAGAGGACTGAGTTGTAGTTTGATCAAACGGAGGTATTTCCTCGTAGTTTTTCCTTATTCTTCACTGAGTTCACCAGTATGGAAGTCTTTTAATTTCTCTGTATTTTAATATACAATTTTCCAGTGAGTTGGCTGCTCACAGTTTTTCTCTTTTTCACCACAAAATCTGTTGTAAGTTGTTTTTGGATCAAATCCCAAGATCTCCCTTTCCTCATGGATCCGGAAGGAAAATGTAGAAACTGAGGTGCCTATAAAATACCTGTAAAATAAAAATCAGAACAGGTTTATGAAGGGGGCCAGTTTTTAAAATATAAGTAATTGATTTCAGTCCAATGAACTTTAATACTCATTGAAATGATAATGAAATTATGTATTATATGAATACATTACAACTATTATACCTTTATTTTAATATATATACCAATTACATAGTATCATGTGATATATGATCTGTAAACAATTATATCTGGGTCAAAAACAATGTTCATTTTTGTGACAGAAAGGTCTGGCTCCTCAAAGAAAAGTCAAATTCACTACCGTGCGTGTGCGCAGATCCACTGGTCAATCACGGCCAAGCCCCCATCTTTGTAGATTTCCAACTCCTCCCAAGAGGGTTCAAACCTCACCATCTCAGGCAGCAGTTTCTTGAGCAATTCAATCTCTGGAAAAGGGAAAGATGCAAATTTATTTTAACAAGTTGCTGCTGTCATAAAGTGTTAAGTGTTAAAGGAAACCCCGGGTGAACAGTTATGAAGAAAGCAAAACCAAAATCTACCTACAAATTTTACGATGTTTGGCAAATGTCAGGGTATTATAGGCAGGGCGGGGGAGACAGTGGGGCAGAGACATGGTGCTCAAGGGGGGCAATTCTCAGGTGGTGGAGAAGCCTGCAAGGGGTAGAACAGATGCCACAACCAGCCCTGTTGCCTAATGCTACAAGGTAGATGTACTATGAGGCCTTTCTTGACAGCATACTCAGTATTAGTTATTGTGGATGCCAGGCACTGCAGGGTTATTCTAACATCACTTGTTGAAACAGATCCCTAGATGCTACCAGGTGCAGCCCTGGGATAAGACCTGGGAGGGGAACCCTATCCTTGGGGGTTTCTAAGCCTTGGCCACATACAGCCAGGTTCACGCCAGTCTGGCATTGGATGCAGCCAAGCGAAAGGCTGGGTGGGAGACTTCAGAGGACTCTTCCCACTAGCATGTCCGAGGCTCTCTGAAATGCTAAGAAAAGAGGTGGGATGGAATAAAGAGGAGGAACAACAAGGAAATGAAATTCCCAATTTCTCACCGTAGAGACTGTCACACCTCCTACGGGAAATACCAAATTAATGGTTTGATGCCAACTATTCAAGCTGGAAGGAAATGGCTGCCCAGTCCTGTTCAATTCCCCATTCAATGATGGAGGCATATGAACTTCCAGTCGTTCATAAAACCAAAGTGGTAACTGCGGCACTCATTGTCAAAAGTTATCAATCCTAAACAGACTATCATTTGCCTACCCTCCTCAACAGCATCCGTGGCTACAAAAACTTTTTCAAGTTTATGCATCTCCAAGAGACTGTGGATTTTCTTTACTGCTCCGTGTAGGGAAGGCACGTCTTCTCTGTGACCCCAGACGAAGTCTTTCCTTCTGAGATGAACCCCAAGGTATGGACCACCTACAGCTGTGCCCATTTTAACCTAAGAGAGAAAGATCAATAAACCTTAAAACTTGAGAGCACCACTGTTCATTCACACTGAAAAGGCCTGAATGCATAATCTCTGGAGAAGGCACTGAATTACTCTAGTGGCAGAAAGTAATTTTAAGGTATGGATTGGCAGTATTTTGGGACACTTACTGCAGTGTTTCACTCTTGGGTGCCCTGCATCATACAAGAGAAACTGAAGTGCAAAAATCTTTAAGTAAAAATTGCTCTCCTTGACCAAATCCCCAGCTGGGAGTTTGCACCTGAACTTTATACCCATAGATGATGCTGAATAAAAGAAGAAATACAAGTTTCCTTGTAATAAGGGTTACAAATCTGGCATCCAGAACCAGTCAGTAACATCTCAACAGACTCTGTTAACTCATGTCACACAGAGAGCGGAGGGCACAGCAGGAACATGCACCCTCACCTTGATCTGAGCAGGAAGAGCTAGATTCACATCTATCTTCCAAAATTCCCTGCGGTGTACAGCCAGGAGTACACAAGTAATTTCAAATATATGTCTATATTACATTTGTTATGGGAAACAGACCATTATTTTACCTTCATCTGTGTCCAGTCCTCCTTGTAATGAGTCCTGTCCGCCTCATCCGTAGATTGAAGATATTTGTTTCTAAACTCATCTCCCACTACACGGAGGTGTTTAGCAAACACCATACTCCGACGGGTCTGTTGGAATAACAGCATATGTGAAGTCAGAAAAAGAGAGAGCTAAAAATAACTAAATGGAGATAGTTTCACATACATGGAGCTTCCAGGATGCAGTTACTTCTGAAAGACGCATGCAGCACTACAAGCAACAACTTCTAACCTTTCATCTGAGCTTTAACTTTTTAATCCTAATCATACCCACAGTTACAACCAGTATACTCATCTGGCTGGGAAATACACAGCTGTACAGAGTAGACTTGTTATTTACACAACAGAATACATTATATACCAAATCAAACATTCAAGCAATATACCTCACCTTTGAAAACAGAAGTTAGACAAAGACTTTAGCTTGCAAAACACCCATAAGAATAAAACCTGCTTAAAAAAACCCATGCAGCTAGTGACAGACACTCCTATCAGATTCAGTGGAAAAGTGACAAAAAAGGAATTATTTCCTCCACCTGTGACTAAAAACCTCTTTCAAAGATTTTGTGATGCAGTTACCACTGCACAGAGTGACACAAGAAAACGAAGGGAATCCCATGTGACTTACATTGCTTACAAAGGACACTTGCCAGTTTGGTCTAATTCTTAATCTTATACAAGTCTGTAGTCTGTCGTCTGACGGGCACCAAATATGATGCAATTAAAACACCTCTCTTCAATTTCCAGCAGACTCTCTTCTCTCTGCATGTCAAATCCCACAGTGGACAGTTTGCTAGGCAGCAGAGAAGCCAGGCAGAGCATCACTGGTACTCCAAGACACAGCCACACTGATAGTGCCTTCGCCTTACTCTAGCAAAGGGGCAGAAACTAGGATCTTTCAGCTTTTTTTCACCTTTTCCCAGAGCAGCTATTTCTCCATATGCCATTCTCGCTGTGGTTAAACTGGTTTCTTCTCTATGTCATTCAAGAAGACACGGAAAAATTTAGTCTTCTGTAACATTCATCACACCAGTACCTGGAGATCCACACCCCTCTAAATATTTCATTTCAGTACAAAGCCTGCTCTTCTAGCATCTTTGAAGAGAACAGCACTGGCTTTCTAATCCCACCCCAAATCCTCCAGCAAAACATTTATATGAAGGGAGAATGTATACACTGTCTGCTGCAGAATGCTCACACTGCAGTTCAGAGAGGCATTCTCCCCTCTTTTTTGTAATACGTCAACACAACACAACCCTGTCCAGTCAAGTCACTGGGTTCCTTACTCAAGATGTGATGAACATGGGATGCCCAAGAGACACCAAATGCGTATGCAACACATGCAGTGCACCGGGGAGGACAATAAACATCTTTGAATGCTGTGCTTGTGTCAAACACCTCATCCAGACAGATGCCATAACTGCCATGTCATCTTTGGCATCCAGGCAGTACGCTGTGCCAAGTTTTTCCTGAGCACAAAGCACTCCTCTGACAGCAGCTGTTCTGGATGAACACTTATTTTGCAACAGCATATGTAAAAGGGAAAACAAACTGTATCTGGTTATCCTCTTACTTAAAGTGTATGTTTCAAACCTGCACCTGTGATATTGTCACCCTTTCCACCTACCTCCAAGTTTTGCTTCTTTTCCGTTTTCTCTGCATAGAAATAAACAACACAGAAGGGAGAGATGCTTCTCAGAGGTGCATGGAAAAAACCAGTAAGCCATGGACCCAAGCTGTATCAAGACAACTTCTGTTTGGATATAAGGCAAAACCTCATGCCCACAGGAGCGGCACAGCCACTGGACAGGCCCCAGAGAGGTGATGAATCGCCATCTGTGGGGACTTTCTGCCTTCAGCTGGTCACAGCCCCAAACCACCAGGTCAAGTTCTGGAGTGGAAACCTCAAGGTAGGGCTGCCAAGATACATCCTCACCTGATTTTTCCTGTGATTCTAAGTTTAGGAAAACAAACAAACTGACTAACTAACTCTGTGTTGGTTATACTTCTTTTCAAGTACATAAATTAAATTAATAGTACAGATCCTCTTATTTTTTGAGATCCGTCCCTGCAAAATGGTGAAACCAAATGCAAAACTGCAGCTTTTCCAGAGTTGTCCTTAGAGAACTTTCTGCTTCCATACGGATAGTAAAGAGCTCATGTGGTCTACATGCTACCCTGATGCTCTGCAAGGGATTCAACAGTTGCTCCTAAACCATTTTTGGAGGTCTTTCCTGCTCTGTGGTCATTCAACCATTAAGAACCCCAAAACACCACCTTTCAGCTTGCAGTGGTAGAGAAGCCTAGACAAAAATGGTGACAACAATGAGAAAAACGCAGCTTCAAATATTTCTGGACACCAAAGACATAGGTTGGTTGCACAGGGAAGCTGGCTTGTTACAATTTTAAAACTTCTTTTAAACAAGAAAGCATATGTTAGCAAGATTTATAATGACCTCCAGATGTTATCAAGAGATTAAGAATAAAACCACCAGACATCATGCAGGGAGGTAAAACAAACACATGAGAGTATTTTCTGAATAATAACAGAATAATAGTTCTAAATAATTTTGAGACAAGTTTAAATTGTTGAGACAATGTTTCAAGTGTCACTATTAAGAAAGGTGTGTTATGGATCCATATGGATTTCATGTCTGCTTTTTCAAGACTACAAGTCAGACTCAGAAATGATACATGGGTTGCATTTCTCTGTTTGGAAAGTCACTCTCAATGAAAAATTCATAGTTATCAAACAGCTGTTTGGTCTGCTTCTGAAAAATATGGCAAATACCAAGTGAAGAACCAGCTGTTTATATCTGACAAGACTGAGGTTTTTTATTCAACTTGCTTGAGAGTCACTTTTCTCTTAGAAATTTTAACTATATCAAGCACTCCATATCATGTTCCATTTTCCTGTGGCTGAACCTCAGTCTTAAAACTTTTGCCACAGGAATTATTTTACCATAAACCCTTGACTGGGGTCTCCTATAAAGTGCTCAGTGTTACCTTGAAACCTGTGGGAAATTTGCCATCAAAGCCAATGGGGAGACAGAACAACACTGCGTGCTTTCAGGAATTCTTTTGAAAAGTCTAATCTTGATGCTGACTAGACAAGAAACTGCATAAAGGCAGTTCCCTTCTGATTGCAGATGTGTTGCATAGGGGAGGTCCTTCTAAACACCATGCCCTGCAGCACTGAGTCTTTGGACCAATTTCCTGAATTAATCCACAGCATATCTTTAGCATACACCGCTGAAACACAAGACACAAGTTACTTTCAAGAAAAGAAACCCGAGGCAAAACTGAAACACAGATTGGTTATTGAATTTTTATCAGAACCAAAGAGAAAGTCTAGAGAAGCTAACTGGAAAATACTCACATTCCAATAATCTTTCCCTCCGTAGTGGTCATGAAGAAGGTTTTCAGCTCTGTCTAACATCACTGACCTATTAAAAATTGTAAAACTGAGTGCAGTTTCCTTGGGAATAGAATTTACATTACATTTCTTTACACAGTTGCCAGGATAAAGCACAGATTATGATCTGCTTGCAAAGGGAGCACAGAGAATGAGGGATAGGCTGCCAAGCTGTTCTGTATAAAGCAAATTGGGACACATAGCCTGTTGGGGAGAGAAGGAAACTATGCTGCTCTGTGTTCCTGCTCTCTTCCTTAACAAACAGTACTCCTAATTGTGACAGTTAAACCCAAACAAGCATTAACAGTCCCTCACGTAGTTCTCACAGTAGCTGCTGCTGGAGAACTAAGATTGCCAGCAGGGAGAGTGATCCAAAGGGGAGAAGCAACCTATGAGATGATGCTCAGCCTTGGAGCATGTGAGAACCTCTTGAAGGAAGCAAGAGTCATGCTCACAGAAGCAAAACCAGAGGTGTTTTCCACATGTGGAATAAAATGTCCTACAGTAAAACAACAGATCGAGGCACACAGGCACTAAACAAACTGTGTGAACAACTAAGTACAAACTTTAAAATGAAAACTTTACCTTAACATTAAAACAGTCTGTGCTTTTCAAAAATACACGCAGTTCAGGAGTGTGCACTGGAAACGTAACTGCACTGTCCAAGTTCTCAGAAGCAGAAATGATTTTGAGAGTTTTGACTAGCAAAGGGCATAGAGGATGTAGGCTTAGTTTGTGCTCTGAGCACACTAAATGTGAGTGAACACACAGAGGAATGCATCTGCTGAAGGGGGTCAAAGTCATTATCTGGATCTTCTTCTAAAATTAGAGGAAGCAAATAACCAATCAACTTCAGATAAAGAACTGGACTCTTGCACATAGGGCTACAAATAATCTGGAAAGCAGACTAGACTGTGTTGGTGGAGAAGCAGCACTACATCTAAGAGGAAGCCTGCAGGTGAATCAGATTAATAATCTAAATGTAGCATGAACATTCCTGTAAGTGACCAGACCCAAAGAGTAACAATACAGTATTAAGACCATACAACTGATTATCTGGTCAAAAGAGAAATATGGGAAACCAGAAAGGCCACAGTGCACAAATCACCATAGTGACTGGAGATTCTGGCTATCCCCAGGTAGGTTGGGCAAATGTCATAGCACGACGTGGCTAAGCAACTGCAGTGAGACACTGTCAAAGAGAGTCCCATGAACCAACTGGGCAGGGAGTAGCTTCTGACATCATCTTGAGCAGCAGCAGCAAGACACGGACCAAAACCTCATGGTGGAAGAACTACTCTGTGACAGCAGCCAGAAATGTCCTCATCTTCAACATCCTACTGGATCAACAACGGCCAAAGGAAAGCTACTGCAGCTGCACTGTTTCAAAAAGGGGACTATGGAAAAATGCAGAAGGAGTGTCCAAGCAAAGAAAACAGAAAGACTCCCAAACACCATGAGGTTAAACAGAAAAAGACAATAAAGAAGGTAAACAAGAAATAAAGGTCTTCAATCTAATGACAGATCTGCCTTCCAATAAAAGGAAAAAGGAAATTAAAGGCATAACAAGCAGAGACATGACAGAAACAGCTAATGTAATTTTTTGGAGCTATGTGGAGGAGGAGCTGGAACGATTCACATGCCAGAACTATTTTTTACAGGGGAACTCATCAGAGGATGCATCTCAAACCAAGGCATCCATAGGAATTGTTCGGTAACACCGGCCAATATTCACCTACCAGTTGTCAAGGAACTCAAACATGAAGCAGCTGCATGACTAATTCTGGTATGCGACTCCTCGCTTAAAGCTGCAACACAGCAAATGTGATGTCAGTTTTCTAAAAATGCACTTGGGGGGTCTGGGATGCAACAGGGTGGTAAACGTGATGTCAGTACTGGACAACTTAATAGCATCTATTATAAAAATACACAGAATTACTGGATACCTAAAGTAAACTGGAGAAGTATCAGCATGGAGCTCTGAATTTTGACCAATCAGAGCACTCTGAAGACATAAGCGCATAAGAAAAATTTCACTGATATTGCCTATACAGATTTCCTGACAGTCTTCATTAAAGACTTTTAAGAAAACTTAACAGCACTGGTACAGGAGACAGGGTCCTTGCGTGGATTAAAAAAAGTTTAAGGATGGAGTAAATGTCCAGCTCTTATTGTAGAGGGAAGTCACAAGTGAAAGGGATCTGCTTTTCACCATATTCCTAAACAACTTACAAAAGGTGCAAAGAACTTTGGGGTGACACAGCTTGCCAATCATTTTAAATTGCTCAGAGCAGCAAAGACAAAGGCCAATTGTGAAGAATTACAGAACTGTGATGACTGGCCAATAAAGTGGCAGATTAATTGTAATAAAGGGGTGCAACTAGTTAAAAAAAATACTGGCTTCATCTGATAGCTAAAGTGCTAGATGCTCAGGAATGAGGACAGTTTGATGTAAGTGTCAAGTCAACAATCATCAAAAGTCAAAAAAAGGAACCTGTATATTATGAATTACCAGAAAAAGAAGAGAACACTAAACAGAGCATGTTATTATACTCCTATTTAATGGGGTTACCCCCCTCAGTGTGCAGGATCCAGGTGAACTGTAAAGGTTCAGAGAACGGCAGCAAGGATGACCAAAGGCATGGAATGGCTTTCACATGAAGAACAACTAATGAAGCCTTTTCGTACTGCAGAGGAGATAACCGAGGGGGTAATAGGATAGAAAGATGTAAAATTGTGCATGGCATGGAGATGAATATGGAAGAGTTGTTCATTCACTGTCTCTTCCACTACATGAACTAAGGGACGTTAGATGAAACTTAGAGGTAGGAGTTACAATAGGAGGTGGATTTTCATAGGATGCACAGTTAAGCTCCAGAACTTTTAGGTCTTGTCCCAAGATTTTGTGGTTGCTAACAGTGTGCATAGGGGTTCAAAGGGAAGCTTGCACAGATCCACAGATAAGAATATCACTTTTGGCTCAGAAGGTCTCTCCAACCACAAATCTGACGGTTGTGACAGGACTCAGTGGAGGCATTACACACACTTGCCCAGTTTTTATACTTTTCCTCTGGCATCTGATTTTGGCCACTCTTGGATTTCACACACTGAACTATGTTCAGCCTGGAGAAGAGAGGCTCCTGGGGGACCTTACTGTGGCCTTCCAGTTCCCAAAGGTGTCCTATAGGAAAGCTGAGGAGGGACTTTTTACAAGGGCAGGTAGCAACAGAACGAGGGGGAATGGTTTCAAACTGAAAGAGGGTAGATTTAGACTAGATATTAGGAAGAAATTCCTTACTGTGAGGGTGGTGTGGCCCTGGCCCAGGTTGCCCAGGGAAGTTGTGGATGTCCCCTCCCTGTCAGTGTTCAAGGCCAGGTTGGTTGGGGCTTTGAGCAGCCTGGTCTGGTGGGAGGTGTCCCTGCCCATGGCAGGGGGTTGGACTGGATGATCTTTAAGGTCCCTTCCAACCCAAACCATTCTGTGATTCTATGATTGACTTTAACAAGAACCACTAGTTCTAACATCAACAACTGTAGCTGTTCTTCCATTGCTGTTATGTGGGTACTTCTCCCTGCTTGTATCTGACTGAGAAATGTGATCTTGCGGATAATGCACCCGGTCTATGTGTCAGGAATGCTTGGGCACCACTCCTAATTTTTCTCTTGACCTTCCTCATCACCAGACCTTTGACAGTTGCCACAAAAGGGTTAACTGTAGGGCTAAACATGGAGACTTCTATAGCTTATTTAATCCAGTTTTCTGCTGTCACTGGGAAAGACTACTGTGTAACTCCTGTAAACAGAACACCATTCCTGTTAAAAAGCGGGACTTTGCATCCTCTGCTCCCAGCGGGAGGTACTAAAGAACACCACTGCTCTGCTTAAAGGAACCTTCATCGCATTTCCAATTAAATTGTATTGATGTCAATTTTTTAAATATTTTTGCTCTGATGGCAAAACTGCACTTCACCTTACACAGTTTGTGTTTCTCCTAGAGATTTATTCCCTTGATGTATTCATAGACAGTGATTATTTCCACTTCCTGGTCTCCCCTGTACCACAGTGGCTTTTGCTTTGCTACAATGTCTTCAATTGTAACAGCTGACTGGGATAACGCAAGTGTGCTCCATCTCTCATACAAGAGCTTTCCTTTTATCCCTCATTATCCTGGTGGTATCTCAGAGCAGAAAGACAAAACACACTGCTTTTTTTCTCTAAATCCAGCTCACACCACAGAGGAAGGACATCACAGGAGACCAGGCACTACACCTCATGATCTGAGACTTGGGCTTGGGAAACACTGATTCCACTCTGTTCGTTCCCTCTAAACCCAGCATGGCAAGGTAAAGGAAGGAAACGTAAACACAGGGTGGCAAGGACATTTAGCTACCTGAGAGTACGAAGGAGCTCAGGGCTATTTCCTCTTAGGTTTTAGCACTGCAGCATTTAATGTAACTTACAGTTAGGTGTTTCTCACAGAGTACATCCCTTTGGTAATGATTTTAGTGGATGACAATAACTCAGTGATGAAGTACCACAACAGTGGGATATAGCCTATAACTTTCCCCTGCTCTTCCCACTTGGCAATGGTTTGTGGGCATGCAATACAACAATAAATAGTAACACAAGGCAACTCACTGTGCTGAAGTGTTCTTCAGAAGGATGGGAGCCACAATAGAGGCAGATCCTTGGACAGACAAACAAGAAATGTTTAGGCCCCGTGTTTCCTCGTAACCCCAGAACCATCCCCTAAAAGGGAACACAAAGTATCGGTTCATATGTATTTTCACATTTCATATTTTCAATATATCAACATTTTGTATTTAAAATTAATGCCATATATAATGAAACAAATACAGCACACCCTAGAAAGATTATATATAATGTAAATAAACCAGCCCACTCCTTTACACTGTTTTTTTTGGGTGAAACAACTTCCAAAAATTTGATCTTCTAGTACCAATATAACATTTTGTGATTGATGGGGCTTTGAAAACAAAGTGAACCCTGAGCACCCAGAGATTCACACACAACACTACAATAACTGCTCAAGTCTGTTCTGTTAGAGTAGGCAAATGTCTCATTGAATACAACTAAAAAGAAGACTGAAAGGACTGATAGATGTTACCTGTAGTAATCATGTTTGTCTTTGGAGTACATAAGCTGATCAATGCATGGCCTTTCATCTATTTTTTCTTCCCATGTTCCTTCTTTCCATCCTTCTGCGTAGCCTTGTAGGACATAAATTTGTTCAATAAAGGGCCCACCTGACTCTGCGCAGAACAAAAAGCAAAGCATTTGTAAGTATGAAAAAAACACACGATAAAAGCGTGAACTAGCATTACTTGCAGTTAAAAATCTGCTAGAAATGCTAATATTACACTACACTCTCTCTTGTCTGCTTTCCCATTAAAGACAGGAAGTTCTACCTCAACCAGAAAAGCTAGAAGGGTCAAGGGATGCGACAACCTGCTACTCCCACCCAGTTATGTGTGATTTAACATGCCAAATGGAACTGAATCACCATGGAAATGTAAATTTAAAAGCTGGGAAGTACATGCCATGAAGCACAGAGGTTTTGACTGCTGTAGGTAGCTGCTATGGGAAGAGGGCCTCCAAGAAAATGACAAGTACACGGCCTACTTCCCCTTAATTTCATGGTTTCTAAATGCTTTTTCCTAAACGCAGGGGACAATGATCCCTTCACAGCTCTTTGCAGAGTTGTGACATTTGGTGGCCTTGATTTCCTTTGCTGAAAAAGTCTGTGACACTGCTGCAGATTTTGGCATTTGGGTGTTACCACAATGTGACATTAAATCTTAAAGGAATCAGCTTCACGGTTTCCATATTCTCAGGGAAAGCCTTTCTCTTATATACCATTCTGAACACAGAAAGCAGGAAATAAGTATTTTGACTATGTGCAGCATCAACAACAAAAATTTAAGATCACTGAAGAAACCACTGTACAGCTTTTACTGTCCATCTCCAGAAAAAGCTGGCTTGTCTGTATTGTGACAGAGAGCTGCAGGCTACCTCAGTCTCCTTCCAGGGTTGTTACTAATGGCTAAAATTATGCAGAAGTATCTGTAACTTTAACCACAGGCACTAACTGTCTCTGGGTTCCCTAAGAAGTCAAGGGGATGACAGTGCTACATCAAATGAGCTGCCAAGTAATAGGGTTACTTCACACTAGTCGTTTGTTACTCAGCATGATTCTTTCCCAACCCTCCTCTCACCACTTTTAACTTCTTTCAAATTCAAGTATAAGGCTAAACCTGTGAAGAAAACACCTCAAATATTTAGTCAATTGTAGATTGTACAATTCCATACTCGACCTGCAAGGAACTGCTCATATTCAATGACAGGGATGTTCCGGTTGAGGCTTGGGAGATCGAAGAACTCAGACCAGGGGATCCGGACCTGAAGGATGTCGGGGCTCTGCCAGTGATAAAGACGTCCCCAAGGAGGCAGAACTAACACCCAGTTTTCACTTTTCAGCAAGGTTTTTAGAAGGGAAGCAATGCGAATATAGACATCTCTGCGAAGGTTAAACCCTTCAGGGGGATTTACATCATACAAAAGGTATCTGGGGAGAACAAAGCAACATAGTTACTTCAAGGAGTTTAAACCTTTTGCTTTTCTTTTTTACCCCCCAATCACGTGGCTCAACTCTGCTTCTCTTTCATGAGTTTGTGGGACTCAGAAGACTGATGGGGACAAAGCAGGGATAGGCAGAGCAGTGTGCGCTGCAGGGGCTGGGGGAGACCACCAGGGCCTCCTTGCAGAACATAATCAACAACAGAACATCATGCCATGAGCCTTTGCTGCAGTGGGGCGGGACGTCGAGGCCCAAGAAGTGAAACCCCTCGGATGTCTTGTATATCCCAAGGGTCGTGTGGTGAGAATGGTGAAATGACTCGCATGTCACTCGAGCTAATTCCTCTGAGCTGAATATGAAGGTGGGAGGACCCGTTCAGGAGGGACATGGGGAAAGGGTGCATGTCACCTGGCAAACTGATCCACACAGCACCAGCAGGTAAAGGAGTTTTTTTTCCCCCCCAGCCGATGGCTCAGACACATGGCAAGTCCCCTGTGGGGGGATCTCGCCGTGTCGGTCGAGCAGACGAGCTGGGGTGGGACAGCCCAGGTGCGGCCCTGCCGGGTCCCATGGTAGCTGGGGCTGGGGGGAGAGAA